CATTTTGCTGAAGTAGGAATTTAGTATTTCTATTTTACTTTATACTTTATGCATGCCAGGTAGCACAACTGGATTTGTTGAATGTTTTGGCATTTAATTTACAGTATATGAAACCAGTGCTAGATACTGTATAGGCTCTTTTTGCAAATTACACCCTATACGTACCCTTTGCAGGACCCTCTGTGTGCCCAATGGTCTTGTGTGGTTTAATGCTAATAGGTGTCTTTTTATAAAATAACTATTACACAGAATACAGTACAACATTGAAACTATTGTATTTTAGCAGAAGTAAGTCAGATTGGTATTGAATTCAACTCAACATATTTTGTAGGCTTTGTCAAGTGATTTTGCAAGTGAGATCCCTAGTTTGTTTATATTTCTATGGAGAAAAACATAACTCCACAGCTATCGAGAAGGGGAATTTGTGTTTCTTGGTATCTCAGCAGAAAGGCTGACTTTGCTTGTGACAGCTTTGTAAACTCACATAAAATGAGAATAATGGAAGGCGATATCACATAGCTTGATTAGTAAAATCCTCAAAACCTGTGAATGATTTTGGCACACGAATTCTCACTAGAATAATGTGTTAGTTTAGGGAGCAAGAAGCAGAGGAATACATGAGATGTCTGTTTCTCTCTTAAATAAAATGCAAGAAACTATGTGTATTGCAATACAGGTTTATCCAGTAAATGCAATACAAACGTTAGTGAAACAAAATGACATCACATTAGAGAAAACAGGGTTATACACAACAATCAACCACACAAGCACACAATCAGTAAGAAGGGTTTTTTTTTTGTTTACAGAGGTGAGGAGACCTAAAATTGAAAAAAAAGAAGAAAGGGTGAAAAGAGAACAGAAACCTGAAAAGAAAGTAGAGAAAGCCAAGAAAGAAGTGAAGGCAGTGGAAAAAGCAAAGTCTAAAGCCAAGCCAAAAGAGGAGAAACCTGTCAAGAAGGAACCGAAAGGTAAAAAAAGCACGAAAAATGGGGAGGAGGCCAAGTTCCACAGCGTAGTGGGAATGAAACAAAGAAACTAAAGCAAAGATGAATATGTCATTATTTTCCGCTCAGAGAGAAGAGGAAATTGGGTCTGAATGGTTATTAATATTCATGTTATTAATGTCCACAAAAAAAACTGAATAGAGGGGACATATAGTAATTTAACATTCAGAATTTTTGTAATAGGTGTAATATGTGTTATTGTGTCTTCTAAAGAGCACAGAATACATACAATGTTTTCCATTTTTCTGCTGTAGTAGGAAAAAATAAGAAACAAAAAACAAAGATGAAAAATCCCTTACTGTTTAACAAAAATGATATTAACTGCTGCTTGGAAGTCTTAGACATTTTACTTCAATTCTTTTCACTCTTATTCCTTTCCTTGTATGATTTAAATACATTTTCTAATTAAATTTAGTCATCTTGTTTTAGGCTTTGAATTAATATTGGTAGATGAACAAAAAGTGGCCTTTTAGCCTTTTTGATGCTTTGAGGGTAACAAAAGAAGTTAATGATGAGCAATATTTAGAACTGATTCAATTGGATTTGGTGGGTAAATGTGATGGGTGAGCCACTACAACGTGTCAAATAAGCTACTCACAGTTTATCTTGTGCTGTTCTGATCAGGTTGTAAAAGTTTCTTATCACTATGAATTAAATGCCTCTAAATGACAAGCTTGGTTGTTTTTTCTCACTAGAAAAGAAGAAGACCTCAGATTTTATTATAAACAAAAATTTTATAATAGAAAATAGTAGAATAATCTAAAATATTTGAGTGAAATGCTGTTTCTCATTACATTTATATATTTTAACTCCTAATTTTGTCACTAAGATGTCTAAGCTTTTTTGTACAGCAGTGTGTATCATGTGCTTCAGCCATGGACCAATGTTATATTTCCCAAAAGCCCTATTCTGGCCAAACTACACAAATCAAACACTGATAGCCAACCGTGGCCGGATGGTGATGGCTTGGCACCAACCCATGTTCATGTTGCTGTGTTTCAAGTGATTAAACTGTGCTTTACTTTCATCTAAAAAAAGTAAAAAAGTTCCATTATTGAAAGAACTATTATACAACCAGTGTGACCTCTAAAATGAATCCAAAATAAGGTCAGTTGCATGAGTTAAATAAACTACATGTTAAATAAAGATAAGGTACATGCCTTGTTAAAGAATCAAACTATTCGGTTAATACGGAAGTTAAATTTTATGTTCATGTCATAAAAGAGGTTGAAATTATTTTTTCATAGCTACTGACATTAATAAGGATTGACAACTTGCTTTTTAATCATCTGGTGGTGGATTAGCTCGACACCAGGAAATGCACAGGTATTGTGTGGTGAGAATTTGCTTAAGCTGGGTTCTGTAACTGTGTGCTAATGCTCAGACTGGGTGCCTAAGTCAGAGTTGTCAGTCACCCATTCACTTTTTGATTGTTTTCTTTTCCTTCTGCTCTGCTAGATCAGTTTGAGTTCTGTCGCTATGTCGTTGACATGTATACACATGAGGATGTTTCTGCAGGTACTTTGAAAAGCCTTGTATTCCCATCTTATAGTACTTGCTTGGTGTTTTTTTATCTTGTACTTAACAATACTGCAAGCTTGATATCAGGTCTGAACAAACTACTGTAGCATTTAAACCTGAACTCAGTAGAAATTCTAAAACATTCACCTAAGTTGCATGAATATACAGTAAGGCTTCTTCAAGATGCAGTATCCTTTTAAAGAACTCTGAAACTAAGAAAGATCTTCGAGATTGATTATATGTTCTTTGATCAAATCCCCTACTCAAAACGCAACTGAAATGCAGTTCTCTTTGTTGTCTAGAATGTAGACAGCTTCCAGATCCAGATAGTAATCTCTGCAGTGACATCAAAATGGATATACTGTAATACTCCTGATAGAAAAGCACAGTTTTATGTAGTATGAAGTGTCACAGACCCTTAATGTTCCCAAAAATATGCTCATTTAATTAATCAGCTTTTCTATTTAGAAATATTGCAGATACTGTATGTAATTACTCAGCTATTCTCATTTATTTTTATTATTAAGTTAAAGTTATATTATTTATGGAGGTTAAAAAGAAAGCAGAATTTGAGCACTATACACTGATAAAAAAAACCTTACACCCAGTACCTTACACTTCTGTTGTATATTTTAATGTACTTTTGTGTTACATCAAGTCAGGGTTATATTGTGTATAGTGTACAGTTTAGATACCATGGATAATGCATCTTTAAAGATTTAAATACATCATGTTTGACTATTTATTAATTTGAATAATAACACCTTTAACACTTCACTTGAATAAAAATAATAACCCATTAACAATTCACTTAATTAAGCAGTTAACATAACCAGTAATAACCAGGTTTTAGCTTTGACTGTAACATTTGAAACCAAAATATGTTTTAATATGTCATTAACATATAGCAATTTTTTTTAGTTCCTGATTTTTCTACTTTCAAAATTGCTAAAATAATGATGCATTTCTCTATAGTGTAATAATGGATATCCCGTTAGATCATATGAGATTGGACGCATTTTTCATCCATCATCCTACTGCTATTTAAAGCATCTTAGAATTTAATTTTATTAAAATTCCGAAGGAAGGTGTTTTTGGTTGATATGCAGTATGGAGCTAGCTTTGTAATGATGAATATTAGGTATGTGTATGATTGGCTTGTCGTTGTTATCCCCCCTGGACTTTAGTTAGTAACTTCCATATAACCTGATGAAACAAATGGCACAAAACATTTAGTTATCCTCAAATGATGCCACATTCAGTATAGATGTGTGACAGAGCACGGGAACCTTTAGCTTCAGTAATCGGTGGCTTCCCCTTGAGCAGCAATGTGTTCAACAAAAAATCTCCTATAACCATTGGTCTCTCACGTTAGTTTCGACCAACTAGCTCCATGCAGTATATCAAACACAAACACCTCCTTTCGGATTCGTCCCAAGCGCCCCTCCTCCATCCCAACTCCACCGTCCAGCTAGACCTGGGTCTCTCCTGAATGGGATTTGAGCCTCCTCATCTTGTGGCCAGGAGGCCCACTAACCAAGTAGGTTTAACCCAACCTACTGTATCTCACCAGGTATTCCAGACATTCACAAAGCACTCAATTATTGGATGATGTGGTCTTCAAATAGGTTAAAATCCTAAGGGGTGCACAAACATTTTCTCAGTACTGTATATGTACAGTAAAGCAGTTTGTAAAGCATCCTTTTAGATGAAAAACACCATACAGATACAAAGAATTATCATTTAAACAGTACAGTGAGTTATTAAGTAAATGGTGCTTTAATTGTTCAACAGTGTAGTGTAAGGACTCCCATAATCCAGTTCTCATGATACACATGGCTTTTATTTTTCAGTCTACCGCTGGTGATTTATCTAATTTAACTTATATATACAGTATATACAGTATATGGCTTAATTTACCATCTTCAGGAGGTTTTCACTGCACAATGAGACTAACCTGCAGGCTTTTTCTGTAGGCTAATCTGTAGACTTTTTAGAATCCCTGAACTAATCTGATAATTTCAATATAAAAGATTTAAATACAGTAATTGTATTTTATCTTGATGAATAAATTGCATACAGCTGTACTGTGTTACCAGAAACTACTGGTATGATGTTACCTCTGGCCTGTGAACAATTCAGTATTATCCTGCAGGCTCGGAGGTTTGAAAGAACAGCATAGTCCTCTTGGGAAATGATCGGCATCTAGTCCATCTGAAGAGGTGGTCTTACTGTTTAGAAACTTATTCAAATTTTGACTTAACTGATAAACCTTATTGTGAAAAATGATTCATTATAGTCTTTATAAATGCAAAAATTAAATGTATTCTACATATTGTAAGGGCAGAGATTGTTCTGTCTGGACCACACACCCCAGAAACATCATCCTGCTTTTCAAAATGTTACCAGACCAATTTCACTTGCCACAGCTGGTGAGATGACAGAGAGCAGCAGCAGTTCATTCTAGACACTGTGGTCCAGACAAGGCTGCCCCTTTTCTGAAACAACTGTGCCCTTCCAACATACATAAATACAGTACACCGTTTAATGCTTTCTGAATTAGGGTAATAGTTGGGTTTCTACTGTAGCATCTGTGATAAAATTAAACATATGAGATGGCGTAGTGAAAAAAGTGCTTCTAAACCTTGATCTCCTTTTGAACTGAGCCCAGTGTGTTTACTATTTGTAGTAGTGTGAACCGACTAACTTCAATTTGTAAAGCAGGGGCATACAGTATTGTGGTTAGGCACATTAATACACTTTTTGTCACTGTGTACCATACTAGCAAAACTAGAAAACTAACATAGCGGAGCAACTGTGAAATTGAAAATGGCATGAACTGAATCACTTGAAATGTTAATAGCAGAGACCACAGAAACAAACATGAGCTTACAGCTTAAATATGTGGTCCTGGTCCCTTTGTTGGCCATACTGTTGTAGCAGTAAACAGTGAAGTGTTTCAAGTTAATGAACCAAACTGAACGCTTCTCAAACAGAGTGATTGTTAATGCAACTTCTCTGTGTCTGTTTGTTAGTTGAAATTCAAGGGATTTTTTTTTCTGTAAGTTGGGTCACCTCATTTGACTTTGCACAATATTTTTAAATGTATTTAAAAACTTTAACTTGATCAGTCATAATTGGGTAATTCTGCTACTGGGTAATAGAACAGTTTGAGAGATAACAATACTTTGTCAAAACTAGTACTTAAAGTTGTTTCACTACAAATTGTGTACCTTATTATTTTGAGTAATAATAGTCTTCTGACTAGTCTTACCTGTTCATAAAAAGTATTTATCCTCTATGTATGCCATTTCTTTGCACATTTCTTCTCATTTAATAACAATGTTTAATGATGATCATCATCTCAAGGCAACTTACAATACAGTAGCTCATGAGGCACTTGGTTAAGGTAAAAAAACACTCAATAAGCTCAAGGTATTATGGAGTGTCTGCCAAAAATCCTCCCATCAAAAGATTCTCACCTTTGAAAATAAGTCACTATTTTATTCCATAAACATCTTACCCCTGTAGTTTCTTTATATTTCCCTGTTCTGATGTTATTATAGTAACAATAAACTTGATTTATAAAAAGAGTAAATTTTCTTTTCAATTTATTAGATTCACCAAGCAAAAATAATCTTTATGAAAACAAATGACATAAAATGAATGCCACAGTTAAATATTTTATACAGTTTTACTGGAAAAGATTAATAATATATTCTTAATTTTCTCACAGAAAAAAAAAACAATTCTGTTACTTGAAAGGTCTGTGGCTACATGAGTAGTGTGTTTATTTCTTCATTTAAATTTTTATATGTATTCGCACTGATTCAGTTTGTAATGTGTTTTTCTGTGCAATAACAACATCTCTGTCTGTCCCTTGAGCTGTAATCAACCAATAAAATTGACATGAACATGATTTGATGCCTTTTGATCTTATTTGACTCAGTCTTTTGTAATTCGTACATAGTAAAACATTATGACATTTGTCTTTTATGTTCAAATCATGTTCATGCCACATGGTGTAATACACAGCATTTCTTTGGTATTAACAGTATTTAATCTGTATGACTAGCACCCACGCACAAATAATGGCACAAAGAAACCAAACACCTCAGAGGCAATTCAGTAGATTTCACAATTCTCTATCAACTAAACGTGAGCAATGTTTGTAACAATGGTAACTTTTAATAGCTTTGTCATTAATTCCATTTAAATCCATACAGTATATTCAAGAATGCATCTTCAAATCAGTGTTACAGTTGCTTCAAGGGCAAAGTTTGGATGCATCAGTTTTGATTAGATTTTCATAGATAAATCTACAAACTTAATAAAAGTGAAAGCATACTGCTAAGGTAAAAATAATACTCCCATAAGACATGTATCTGGCTTGTAATAAAGAATCTTTATAATTTTCTGTACACATATGGTCATGTGGAATAAACTTAAGCACTTGCAAATTTAGTGTAACATTTACAATTTACTTTCAAATCTTTATTTATTCACACAGTTTTGGAAATGTACTTTAATTGTATTCCCTAGGATTCAAGTCCTCAATAGTCCCAGATCCACCTAAAGGAAACTCAACAATAAAGAAGCCTGCAGGTTCCTTTGTGGAAGGCAAGCAGTCACTGTTGCTTTTTGATGTGTCTGAATATAACACCTTCAACTGGAGATGAGGACAAACTGACTAACACTCCATCTTCATGAAATTCCAAACTGATACATAACACAATTCCCCGTCTGTCTGACTCAATTATATTGCATAGCTATGAGGAAAAGAAAGTAACCAAGTATCTTGGGTAAAACTAACAATACACTCTCATTTGTCATACACATACCATTTTTGCATTGATTTACAATATTCAGCTTTATAATTTGTTTTTGAATTGTTTTTCTTGCTTGAAATGTAACCATTGTATTTGTGAATTAACCTTCACAACCAACTAAAGTAGACAGATGGTTTTCCTCTCAGTTTTACCTTTGCGGGAATTGCTGTTATAAATGTGTTATTTTAACTTTGTTTTGCATAATTGTTTCATTGATATATTTTAGATCATTTTTATGTTTTGTTATTTATTCACAAAAAACAGACACAGGATACATTTCAATAAAACACTGACCATTTAAATTATGATAAAATTAAAAGTATCAATGTTAAATATCAGTGTTTTATTTATTAAAGTGCTCATTCTTATTTGAACGGACACTATTAGATTTATAGTGAGATCAAGAGGTAACCACACACAATTACTCCAGTTTGTTAACACAAACTCTGCAGGTTATAAATTAGAATTAGAATTTATTCTAAGTATTCTGTCTGATTTGCCTTCTTTGACTCCAGGATTAAAAGCTGCAGTATCTCCTACTTCATCTGAAGGAAATTCATCACGGAATTCTGCAGCCCCTGTTGTGAAAGGCAAGGTGTCTGCTCAGCTCTGCTAAACACAATTATCTAAGATGAAAGGAACTGATGTTATCCCATTCATTTAAATCACTATGACAGCAATTCCATCTTTAATTTTTTAATAAGTTTAAAATGGAATAATAAAAAATGGCCAAAATATGCCATTTATTCTGAACACGAGTGACATTTAATCTAATATTTATCTCACTTTCTATATGCAGAGTCAAAGCCTGCAGTAACTCCAGCTCCAAACAAGGGAACTCCAACCACAAAGAAAACTGTAGCACCTATTGTGGAAGGCAAGATGACACTTCACCGATATTACTAACAAAATCATAAAGACATCAGCTTAGTTCTGTGGCCCTGTTTCCCTGAAAGTCAAAAGTAGCCACTTACCCATGGGATATCATCGCCCACAGGGGGCGGAAAACAGACCATTTATTCCAATGCTGCTAATAGGCACAATTAGCAGTGAGACACCTCTTTCCTGAGGGGATACTGTATACTTCAGTTACCTGAGCCACTTTGTGGCTGCTTTTCTTTCAATACAGTATACTAGGGTAACACGAGTAACCTCACGTTCTGTTTAATTTCAAAGAGTGATCACCAGAAGATTGGATAGTATATTAATGTTCTCACGTTACAGGCCAGGTGATAAATGTTGGCATTAGTTTGGCCAGAACTGAAATGCCTAAGCATGCTGTGCAGTCTCTAAGTTATCAAATAACTCAAGTGACCAGCTGCACCCAGGCAGTAAAACCTAAAAAAGGCGCACAGCCCATCTGGCCACAGGACAGATATCAGACATGAATGAGGTCTACAATGTGGCTAAACTTCTAGTTGAGTCCAGTGTGACACCCCTTTGGAGGTGATGGCCCACACTCTTGGTTGAGGAAATCTAGTCTACCATCCAGTGGTTGTGCTAACCCAACACAGAAGTAACAGATAAGTTGTTTCAGTACAGAATATTGTATGGGTCTAGTGTACAGAACAGCACAAAGGACACTCAGGAAGATACTGTCATGCCCTCTGCAGCCAGAGGGCACTCCTTCTCTGTCCTGTCTCTCATTTCCGGTTCTTTGCTGTCCTTCCGGTGTTTCTCTCTCTTTGGGGCTATATATTTCTGGGTCTTTCATTTGCCTTCGGTCAGCATTGACGTTCAGATATCCTGAAACTCGCCTAGCACCAGGTCGCCCCACGTCCGCTACCTGAGGGCATAGGTTTCTATACGGCATTCCTGAACAGCTCAACCCAGGCTAACCCCTGTCTCGCCGCTACGCATAGGGTCTTTTTGCTCTCCTGCCAATCAACGGTTCATTCCTTCTGACATCCATGACAGATACATTCTGTATCAAGCTGTAAATACCAGGACCAGGACTGTTTGTAGCCAGGTAAAGGAGTAATGCCACTTGACCAGAAAATCATAAGCAAGCATCCAGCCCTAAAATGGAATGGAGATCAAAGAGGCGTTTTGCAAAGAACATGATCTTAATACACAGAAAATCTTGCTATCTGCAGGGGATCAAATGACACTTTAGTGAGCTGTGACATGAAAGCAAGTATTGGTGGAGTGTCAGGACCATGTGGTGTCCTTAATGTGCCTAAAGCACCCTTTAAGTGCTTTAGACTAAAATGTACGTCAAATGTATGTTGGTAGTTTTGATGGTTTTTTCCATCCTAATACTTTTAAGCTACATTTCCATGATTACAAAGTATCTTGATGATCTATATTAAATATACACCAAATGTAAGATTTAGAATTACTTTTCATCAGTCGTTGTAACCCTCTAGCAGTTTTTTTTTAATGTTGTGAGGTACTAAAGAAAAACTTAAATCTGAACAATATAAATACCGTATGTGCAGTAAAAAAGTCTCAACAATGTTCACATGCAGGCAAAAACATCTGTCGGAAAAAAGAAAAGGGGTAAGGGGTCCAGGAAAGATAACATTTCATTGTAAGTTAGAGAAGCCCTCATCGTGTAATAATCTTCCCAAAATGTGGTCCATCGGCTTAGCACTAGACAGCTCTGCTCCAGGTTGACTATAAGAATGAGCTAACAGAGGTGAACAATGAAAAGAGCTGTATGCAATACAATCCTGGCATTGTGAAAATCCAGCCAACCAGCCATCCATTAAGTTAATTCAGAATTGTGCCCTGCAGCCACAGAGAGAGAAGGCTGCAATTAATTCACTTGGAAAACGTGTAGAGAGAGAGTGGCAGACTGAACATGCAAGTTTTGTTGAGAAACACTCAGTTCCTAGAGTTAAGAAACATAGATTCCTACTACAGTATATATTTTACTATATTCACTATATATTCAGTATTCACTATACTGTATATACTATATATTTTAACATGGATTCCAAAGCAAACACAATGACAGGCTTGTTAAACTTTGAGGTAATAGCTGGAATATTTCGGGTAGAGAATCATACCACATTCAAACAAGAAAATCTAATAAAAAATAAACAGAAGCTGGAAGGGGGCATGGGGACATAAGATAAATTCCCTCCACTCGTTAACGTGAAATAGGAATTAAATGCAAAATGTTTTATTACTTGACAAAATTGACGTATTAAGACAGGTAGACACCACATAGAGTCCTGGAAATGTATTAACCCCTTTTTTCTCATTTTGTTGAATTACAAAAGATGTATAAGCATTTTTAAAGAGAATATTTTTCATCAAAGCTTGAATGCTCATACAGAACAATCGTACAGGAGAAATAAAATAAATCTAAGCAAAGAAAGTAAAAAAAATAAATATAGTTGATTGTGTAGTGTAAGTATTTACGACCTTTAGGGGGATTGCTGTTAGTGAAGTTAAGAAGTTAAGTACAAGTTCTGCATCTTGATTATTTCACCAAGCATGGAGGAAGCATAAGCCAAAAGAGCCAAAAGAGTTAGACCTGACCTGTCTAAAATTGGAACATTTTAAATGCAAACATAAATGCAAAATGTTACATCTCATGCAAACAACAGAGCACATCTCCCAGTCATCATCATCATCTCTACAGTCAGTATGGTCTGGGAGGCTTGTCAAGACTGAGAAGAAAATGTACAGGCAAGTATAAGAGAAAAATCTGCTTCCGTCTGTTGAAAGTCCTCTGGCCTGGTGGGGGAGAAGGAAGGAGAAATTCCTGATGGCAGTTATTCTCTGAAGACCGGCTAGTTAGTCCCGGCTGAACTAGCAGAGTTTGTGCACATGAAAAGTGACTGCAGGTCCAAGCAAGTCACTCTTTAGAGGGGAAGAAGACCAGTTCATTCCTGATGTAGCGCTAGTCATGAATACTGAGGTTCAGATGTCAACAGTTCTGATCGTAGTTCACTCGTTGATCTGGAGAGCGTTTGAGGTGGGGTACCGGTGGTTCACGAGGCTTGCTGCTGAGCTAACATCGGGTGGATCCTTTGGTTACGTGCGGGCTACCTCCAGTCTCTACTCAAATAAAGTAAAGTCCTTTCACTCAGAGACACTGGCCATCACTTGATTGTCCGAGATTAGTCTGAGAATGTCCTGGAGGGGGCCTCTTCTGGGCCCTGTGCTACCTCTTTTATCTGGAGGAACTACTGTCGTTCATTGGTTGAAAGTTTCACGGGCATCTGAGACCCACGTGGGGTTACTCTGCCCTACCAGTTCCTGATTGGCTGATCAAGGTGGAGGATGAGTAACAATGCTCTCTGGCCTTAGGGTTGTAAACACCTTTTGATGCGACTCCAGGACAGAAAGGCTCCAGAGATATCCATTCATTAGGGTGGCTGGAGAATCTCAGCCTCGGGAGCTGTTCCTTATCAGGAAACTCTATCAGACAGAAAAACACCTTAAATCTGAACCACATGGAATAACCTCTCTGTCCAGTGCCACTGAGATGAGGGAGAGGGAGACTGGCAAGGGAGCAGCAAACTTAATTCCTGTATTAACAATAAGACATGCCTCTACAACAGTCTGAGCAGATTGCAAACAAAAAAGGGCACTTTTGGTAGAGATTTAACCAAAAATAATCATAACTGTGACTGCAGCCGAAGGTGCTCCTATCAAGTATTGACACAGAGTTTCGAGTACTTACAATATACAGTATAATTAGAATAATTTTGTTTTTATTTGCAGTTTAATTACATTTAGTTATTTCCCTCACAAAAGCATTCAGCTTGAGTATTTACTTTATGCTTTATTGGAAACATCCACCTTAAAAATGTGTACGTCATATGTGTACAATTTATCAAAATGTAACATTGAAAGGGTGTAAATACTTTATTAAGGCACAGCAGCTGCGTATCTCATTAAGAGATTAATCAAGTGTGTAAAAGTCCCGTTTCATAATATTCTTTTCTACAGTGTGTAACAAGAAAAAGAGCAGCAGATTCATGGTATGTTTTCCATGGGAGGGAAGGACTTTAACAAATGCTGTTTTTCCAGGAGGAAGAAATTATCTTTGTTAACGCTTATAGTAGAGTATTTAGACAAATACTGTAGGTGCTCTATTACTTCACTCATTCAGAAATGTATAGATAACTGCTTTTTGTTTTTATTTTAGTTTTGAGCAATGTTAACATTTTATCAGCGATAATATGCAAATATTTTATGTTTGTTAACATCACTCATTTTTTAAAGAAGCATCACAACACCAATGTACCATTACTGAGTCTAATGCAAAGATGTAGATGTGGTTTCTTTTGTAATTGTTACGATGGAACAGACTGCAAAAAAGCTACGGAATGTCTTACTGTACCTACAGTACCATAACACTATATCATGGTATTCTTCTAAGAGCAAAATTACACAGTAATCTGTGGGCTTTTTGACAGAATTGGGAGTGATTTGGTTTTCTAGCTGTTTTCAACTGCATTTTAGAAGAAAATGTATTATTACTGTCATTAATAAATTAAAGCTATCTCTGTCTTTATTTACATACTGTAGCTATTTACATGACTTTATCTAGTAAAACACTAGGAATTATTTCTTCCTGTGCCATATATGGAAACATGCTTAAACAATAATTTATTAAAATGAATGCTTCGAATGTCTTGCAGTTTTCTAAACATGGAACTCAAAATTTCAGTTTAATGACTCTAAACTATCATAATAGTTCATTTTAAAACATCAGAGATTTTTTCTTTAATAGTCTTAAACATAAATGATGATGATGATGATGATGATGATGATTATTATTATTATTATTATTATTATTGAATTGCTTGCTTGCAGTAGTGTTTCATTAGTTTGCTTTCCATGCATGTTTGATTTTCTCTTGAGATGTCAAAGGCAGACAGATTTACCCTGTGCTTTGTGCATTTCAATGGA